AAATAATATAGTTTTTTATATAGATATTTAGCATGAAAATAATGTTTTTTATTTTATTTTAAATATTGTTTTTTCATCATTTTCAATTATTATTCTATTACTTTAAATTTATTTAATAATTCTAGAATCTTACAAAAATAAAATAATAAAATGTATCACGTAATTTGACCTATTATTAGGGATGTTTGACAGTTGTTGAATGGCTTGGTGTAAAATGATTAAATGATCAGAATGATTAAGTGTCTCCCATGATATAGTGTAAAATGAAATATAATTATTTGATAATTGTTTACAATGAGATTAGAACGTTTAATGGTTAAAGAAGACACAAAATACAAAATCATTTAGAGGGTTTTAGAATCATTAAGAGACATTTTTTTTTGCCAAATAAGATTCATCTCTTAACAGTTAAAAGACTTTTTCTCAATGAAACTATTAAGAGGTAAACGAAATGAAAATCGTAAAAATTGTTTTTTTTATAAAAAATATAAAAAAAATATTTGGAAAACTAAATATTTAATTTAATTAATAGATAAATCCAGATGATTGACAAGATAATTAAGAAGATGGATAACATTTGAAAATACAATTAACTAATAAATAGAGGAAAATATCATGGGGGGTGGACCCATGATTTTTGCTCAGTGATTACATAAAAAGAATGGTAAAATACAATTACAAGAGTGACGTCTGATTGGTTTGAGTTTATGCTTCAAAGTTAAAAAGCGTCTGAAGATTCCATGTTAAAATCCAAGGAGAAATAAAAATCTCGTTCTGGCCACGGAGGTTCAAATGCGGTGACTTCAGGCTATCCGCAAAGCAGATGATCGCCCTGTGATTAGTCGGCTAGCATAGCAGGTCGGATATCCAGGTTCATAAAAAAATGGTAAAATACCGTAATATAAAAAAAATACGATTATATTAAAAACGATTAACAAATATTGAGCAATAGCTCAAACATCAGTAGGTCCATCCTGAACATTCTTATTATGTACCGTTAAGGAACATGATAAAAAAAAAACCCTATTTTGAGCATAAAAGTTGAATCTACAACATCAAAACTGAATTTAACTAATACATATATGTATTTTAACTGTCAGGTCAGTCCAAACTAGAGTTGTTCATGGGCGGAACGACTCGTCAGACCTGGCCCATCCGACCTGCTATAAATACGGGCTTGGACAATCATTATCAAGGAAATAGACGGACCCGAGTTTATTCGTTAATTTTAATGAGCGGACATGAGCAATGTAGAAATAAATACGGACAGGCCCAACCCGTTTATATTTTATAATTAATAATTTTTACCATTAATTAAATTATACTAATATATTTTAAAATTAAATTATTAAAGTTATAGGATAAGACTCTTTGGCTAAAGAATCATGAAAGTTTTTTTTTTTTATCAAAATCTGAGATGTTTGAAATTGGTAGTAGCAAAATGGAGCCATGAAAACGTGAATATTAATGTTATACATAAAAAATAGGAATGAATTATTGATTTTTTATGGAAGTCTGGTTTTTATTTCATTTATTTCTCCACTTGTTGAGATCCATTTGTCACTTTAGTTGCTTCAAATTTTAATTAAAACAATGTTTTTCTTTTACTTTTTTGGTTTTACATTTGTTAATTAATTGTTAGTGATCAAGTTTATAGATATACAACAATTACATTGTTTAGGTTGGTTAGGCCATATTACTTAAAATTCAAGATTACAAGTAAATTGTGCATGAGTACAACTTATTAAAGCTCTATGTTTGAATTCGTGTAACTAACCGCGGATAAACATAATCAAATAAAGGATAAACATCTTATTTTAAAATCTAAAAAATATAAAATATAATTAGGATAATTATTGAGTCTAACAGAATACTTAAATTATTATCTTTATAAAAAAGATATTATTAAATCTAAATTAAGTTACTTTGGTATGATAAATTAAATTATAATAAAAATTTTGAATTAAAAAAAAATACACAAATAAGAACTTTTAAATAGTTAATTTGATACTAATATTAATATATTTTTTGTAAATTTTATATGATATTTTCAAATTTATATTTTATTCAAAAATAAAAACATTATTGTTTTCTTAAAACTACATAAAATCGTATTATATCGGCATAGATAAAAAATAAAATGAAACATTGAAATCGAAATGTGTCTCGATGCATTACACGAGTACCTTTCTAGTATTTTTTTAATACATTTATTTTGAAACGAAAATAGTAGTAATTAGTAAATAGCAATATGGGCTTATTCAATAAGACTTTTGGATCTGTAAGGCTTATTTCAGCGCAGATACAAAAAAGCCCAAGGCCCAATAAACAACCAAGGCTGTGGAAACCGAAGACGATCAATTTTATCTCATTGGAGACGGATGCTGAAGACAATTTGGGGATAACCTCCACAGATTGGAGCAATCGGATGGGGGGTTGAATCACATGATGATAAAGGCGGGAGTGTGCGGTCTATTTCCGTTTCATTTGAAGGCGATGTCTGATTTCTGGAACGAAGTGATGGATACATCACCCATAAGCTCACCGAGAATTGGCTTAATGCCGTCCTCCTTGATGGCCCCGTCGTCGGCGTCTAAACGTAATTTTCACATTGCTTTTTTTTGTTTTTATCAGTTTGATAATTTCTGATGGATTATGTTTGTGTATGCTCGTGTTTGTATATGTGAATTGATTAGCCTAATCTTTGTGCTTATTTTGCAATTTATGTAATACATTGTAGTCTTGGGGGTTGTTTGGTTGTTTTTCCATTAAGTTCTGTGTGGATTAATTTATTTGTATAGATTGACGATGTTTTTGTTTGTGAGAGTTTTTTCATAGATGGAAGTAGCCTGTTCTTAGTTAGGAGTGGCAGTTCTGGAGAAAACTTAGGCATCCTGCATAAAGCTCTCCTTTAGAAGCTTACTAAATAAGCCACTACCAAACAGTCATGCTGACCGAATAAGATGTGAGTACCATTAACAAACAGACCCTTAGTTTATCATAGTTCGTGGTGATTTTTTGTATGAATTTCCACGAGTTGATTACAATGATTTGGCCATGAATATATATATATATATATATATATATATATAGAGAGAGAGAGAGAGAGAGAGAGAGAGAGAGAGAGAGGCATTCAAATGCAACCCCTCTAGATTATACAACCGATGCAACCCACCTCTATATATATGTATCATTTATGTAGTAAAATTCAATTATACATTGCTAAACCTTTTTCTCTCAGATGGTTACGTAATTGAAAACATGGGGTGGTTAGGAAGGTTAGAACCTGGGAGGTTGTACTCAGTGGTGCATTCTGTGTGCAGAATAACTGAAGTGGTAATAATGGGATGGAACCTTGCTAAGGATCCAATAAGTCCAACATGTATTCCTTCAGATGTGTCAATTGGGCAAATACGCCCATAGTGACTAGGATGAATATCTCGTATTGGAAAAGTAGCAGTTCGCGCAGTCAATCCCCCCGGGCCCAAATAACTCAATTTTCTCCCATGAACTATTTGTGTCAATGGATTGGTTCGATCCAAAACTTGAGATAATGGATGTAAACGGAAAAAAGCTTTATAAGTACCTGTTAATGGAGCAGTACTGGATGAGCAATAATGAGATAGGTTGGTGAAAGAATTGTGCTAGGTTTTTGGGTTTTAATTTGACATTGGTAGTTTTGTAATTTACCCATCTCCTGATATTTGTTCCATCTATTTTGGTGGACAAAAACTACCAAACAGAGCCTACCCTTGCAGGGGAACTGCCATGACAACTAAGCCCACACATAATACAAATCATTAAACTAAGTACTTTCTTAATATTACCAAATACAATACATACTTACTTGAATCATTTCAATGAAAGACAAACTAAATACTTTCATAGCAGTACTAAACTAAATACCTATGTGTCAAAAAGCTAATTCTTAATTTTCCCACTTATTAAATAAATATAGATTTATCTGTAGAAATAGTAATAGATGATTCATAAATCCCAATTTCTTAAGAGTTCCCATAATGCCGATTCACCTTCAGTCTCCCCTTAGTTGGAAAACCCAATTTCTTAAGAGTTCCGGTAATGTCGAATCCGAATTTCTTTACAAAGCAACATTGCTAAAGTATTTAAACTGTTCCAAAGGAGCCCATCAAAATGCTTTTAGATCATACTCTATTGAATTGCCGTGTAGTCTTGAAATATTGAGGAAAATTGATAAAGTAACATAAAAGAAAACAAGAGAAAATAACAGACGTGTAGCAGAAAGAACTAGCAGAGGAGGTGTACAACATAAAGATGCAGAAACAGCATACATCATAAAGTACAAGAGGCGAGTTATAATGGGTAAGAGCAATAGAGCTGGTTGATATTTTGAATGTTGTAGCACTATGCACATAATATGTTCAAGCATATGAAACGTGTTGCATCTTTATTTCTTATCTAGAAACGGAAGCATTAGAAGCCTTAAAACTTGAATTTATAATAATAAAGTAAGATATGCCCTTTAACACAAATAAGTCGGCCATATCTATTATCTCATCTGCATCCATGCCATTTTAGCCACACCTGAGACAGGAGTTGCAGCAGGTTCAAATAAGCCATATCCATGTTATTAGTTTTTTAATTTAATGCGTTTGCACCATGTGTGCATTGAGCTGCACCCAGATATGGAACTTCACTAAAGTGTCGCTGTTTCATCCCTTTTCAATACTTGAGTTTTCAAACAATTTTATCAGTTATAGTTTGGCCATAGTAGTGATCAAATTATCCTAATTGTTGTTTCATGCTGTTCAAAAATCAGTTATTTGTGCCCAGAAATAAAAGTAACTAAACGCTTCAACTAATCTAAATCTCCGACTTATCCTGTATGCAAAGTGCTTTGAATTGGAAAAACCCCTACCTTTCCCATTTTACTATCGCCCTTATTTCGTTTCCTATTTTCTGTCAGGACATCAAGTCATAATCATAAGTAGGGAATCAGTATAGAGTTTCCTCATCAAAGCCAAACTCTAATCCATTGGATAATGATTGGTTTTTGAAATCTCCAATTGGTTTCTGGAGGAAGTCTTGACATGTATGATCTGTGATGCTGGCACATTAATTCTTTAATATTTAATCATTGTAACGTAAAAAGGAAATGAGGATCTTCAGCAGTTATCCATGGTAAAAGTGGTAGAAATATTAAACAGACATGCTATAGCACATTGAGGATGTTACTTATAACAATCAAAGTTCATAGGACATCCGTAAAATACGCCAAAAGTGAATCACCGACGGTGTAAATGTACCCCACTAGTTACCCCCTCTGAAGTAAGCCACCTAAATTTCCAACACATTTACAGTTCCTTCATTTGGTTTTTCTATTCCTTTCTCGTCTTCCATTCTTTTCAGGGTTTACTGCGATCATTGAAAGCTTGTTATCTCAACTCACACTTCCCCTCTACTCTGTATTTTGCTGCAGCGCCCTATTCGGGCAAACAATTAAGCTATGTCGAACCTATATGGCCAGAATTTGAAATCCTCACCTGCTCGATCCCCTTCTTCTCCATGCATTTGGACCAACCCAGATGTAGGAAGGTATGATCTTTCTTTCACTTGAAGATTTTTCTTATCTTTTACTTTTCAATCCCAGCTTCAAAATTCTGAGTATCATTATTTATTGAATTTTATATATGTATCGGGTGTTATGATATGCTTGCAGCCCATACCTGGAAAGGCTGTTAGAAGAAAAAAAGAACCTTGCTTTTTATGTACAAGGTCTCCCTATTTGCAATAAGTTGCTGAATCAAGGTTTTATCCTACTTCTCTTGTTGGATCTAACCTTTTAATTTGATATTGTTAAACGCCTTGTGTTTACGTAAACAACTATCAGTCTCTTCAGGGTTTTGTATAGATTTTATTGCTTCCTAATCTTGAGCTTTGTAGCACATAGATGCTGATTTTAGGATCTTCTAAATGTATATTGCTTTTATGCCTCTAGTTGACTGTTCGTCTGATGGACAGTATTGAGTAATGATTTCAACCCAGGTGATATCTAAACAAGGCATTTTCTTGAAAGAAAGTAAATTTAGTAACCGATCTCTATTTTCTGATAATGTAATTGTTGCAATGTTGAATTGAACTAGCGGTTCGTGTCCGACCATGCAAGTAATTTCAGATAAGACTAACATGACAGCCCTCAAGTAGCTGTATTATAGTGTTTTCCATGTCATACATGATGCAAATATTTCATACAGAAGCTGAGTTCTCCAATTTTGGGTATATCAGATCAGAAGGGTCCAATGCTGAACATAAACATGTGATAATTGTTAGTATTTATTTTAAATTTTATGTTYTGATTATTGTAGGCTAAATTAGTTGTTTTGTTAAGATAACTATTGGTAATTTTATTATATATTGGTTGTAATTCCATGTGAAGTGATTGGTTTTCTAGCTTTTGATAAAATATTTTTCCTTCTGTTGACTGAATTAACATCTGTGCATGAAATCTTTATCCCTATAATGTATCCCTGGAGGTCCTTGAGTTTCTCGGGTGTGAAGTTTTGGATTTGGCCTCTAATTATATATCTGCAGGCTTCATACATCATCTCCCTTGTGCACTTGTAACAAAACTAAATAAATGAATAAATAGAATATGGAGAGACAGACAGGGAGAGATGTTGCCTCTAGTAAACCAGATCAAAGCAAACAGCCCAGTATAACCCACACAACACACTGTAATATTTTGCCTATTTTTATTTGATGTTTTTATTTAAATTCAAGCTAGCAAATTGGTAATCAGTTTTTTTGATACATTGAACTATTCATAGTTTAAATAATCATCCTTTTTAATTATTACTTAATGAATAATGGTATTGCTCTATTCTATCTACAGAGATATTGAGGGTCTCAGAGATGATAGCCAACCAAGGTCTTAATGACTTTGACAGACTGCAACTTGGAATCCCAAATCCTTCAAATCCCTTGAACATGATGCCTGATGTTGCTGCTATAAGTGTAGGTCGTTGGGATGGAGATTCTGGCCAGAGTCCTCTTCAGTATGAGGTGAATACATTTATGCTAATGTGTTTTATGGAAAACATAGTATTCTTTCCTTTTTTTTTTCATATTACAAGTTTCTTTAGCAAAAAGTTAATGTGTAACATATCTCTTCTTTTATAGTGTTGGATCCTGTGTATGACTACTGTTACACTCATCTAGACTTGATTACTTATAAGTATCACAGGGTATATCTAGTCTTTAAATGTATAACGTTCATTAAGGATTTACCTTTTATTATCAATCGTTGGAATCTTGTTTTGTATTCCACCTAGCTGTAGGACATAGATTATTGAACCCACTAATGCCACCAAGAAGAAGCTTCTTTGACAATCTTTTATTTTGCGTTTTCCTTTTATATATGATGCATATGAATCTAACTTTATAAACTAAGGTACAAGTGTTACTTCCATAGAAGAAAAAAAAAGGATTTTGGAAGTTGGAAAGACCATTGTTATTATCCCTTTCTGGTCTAAATCTACGTTTTAATCTACTTTTTTCTGCTGTCATTTGTAATTCTGAACAAGAAATAATCACTGTCCCTACCTTCACTTACAAGAAATGGTCTCAGCTCAGGAAGTTTAATATCATTATATTGCCTTGGTGGAATGAATTGTTCCCTTTCACAGCTGAAGTATGTGAACATAGGTGAGTTTTTGTCCACTGGCAAATTGATTTGATGTAAGCAAGTGAGGATTTAAGAAGATGCACTCCAGAAAAATAAGAGAAGTTGAGGAAATATGGAGAAAACAGAGAAGAGAAAGTGGAATGTTTGATTGATTGATCACCAACGAGATTACAAAATTCTAAGCATTCAAGTCGCTTAGACCACTCCCAATGCAGAATAGAATACTAATTTTCTGAATGACCAGCAGCTTTTACTCCATTTTTTTATTCCCTTCCACAACTAACTCTGCCACCTTCGTTTTCAATCTAACAGAAATATGGTGCATTTCCCTTACTACCCTTCTAGTTATGCCTTGCATAAGTCATAAAGTAGGAGGTACAGAAATCATAGGTGAGGTCATCACAGGTTCATAATATAGTACCCTAGCTTTGCCATTTTTTTTACAGATTAAACTAAACCGAATTTTGTATTCCACATGATACATCATAACATCAATATATACGCAATGGGACCATATTCACATCTCATTTCTTCTCACCATTTAAAATGGACACACAAAATGGGATATTGCATGGACAAGCTGTGGCTCACAAACACGGCGGACCTACATAGGAGCATAGGGTGGCACGGGCCACCGCTTCATGGTTCTATTGTAAGGAAAAAATTTACATTTTTGAAGGGTGGCACCGTATTATTCGGGTGCCCTTTATATTTTTTTGAAACTGAACTCTTGGCACAAGCCTTTAATGGTGGTGTTGGTAAATGTTACTGCTTTGTACGAAGGGCTCGGGTTCGAAGCCCACTTTTATCAAATTTCGTAGTTTTCTGCTTATATTTTGTTGTTTTTTATATACCTCTTGTGTTTTCAAAAAAATTGTAGACAGGACTTGAACATGGGTTCCTTATATGCAGGGACAAGGAACCAACCAACGGATCTATACTAATATTGTGAAAATCTTGTATCGATTTTTTATAGTCAAATTGTGTCATCGCTTAAAAAAAATCTGAGTCCGCCTCTGCTCACAGAAATGCAAAAGAGAATGAAGTTAGATGTCTGGAAGTAGAAATATAGAAATATGTGGACTTCAGACTTCAGTCCAGTTACAGTTGAAGCCCTGCCCTGCAACCGCCCCCTGTGGGGGGGGGGGTTTCACTGAAACAGCCTCTCTTCTACCCTCGGGGTAGAGGTAAGGTTTGCGTACATCCTAACCTCCTCAGACCTTACCTATGTGTGGGATATACTGGGTTTATTTGGTGGTTTAATCCAGGTACCGTTGAATTTGTGTCATTCCTCCGTTGGCCAACTTTAACAAATAGTTGCTTCTAATTTTGATTACAGGGATTTGGTGGGCAACAAGGATTGTCGATTGATCACCAGAATGCAGCACCAGCTAGCCCAAGTTCCTTACTTACAAAGAGGTTATTGCGCTTGGATGTGCCTGTTGATATATTTCCTAATGTAAGTTATACATCTCGAATATTTTTTGGCTGCCTTACATTATTCTTGCATTTATATTAAAATAAAAAGGCAAAGGCTTATTAAACTCTTTTTCTCCTCGATTTCAGTTCAACTTCATTGGCAGGCTTCTAGGTCCAAGAGGCAATTCCTTGAAGCGAGTAGAGGCTTTGACTGGATGTCGTGTCTTCATCAGAGGAAGGGGTTCCATTAGAGATCCTAACAAGGTTGAACTTATAATATTGAATTTTCATGGTTATATTTCAAATTCAGATATTAAAACTATTAATCATTTTTTATATTGTGAAATTCATATTAGCGGCATCATAAAATGCTACTTACTCCGTTCGTCCCAAAATAAGTGTCAACTTTCAAAAGTGAGTGCATACTCTCGAATTCTACCTTAAATTACAAGATGGAGAAATTTTTACCTCCCACTAATGTTATGAGTAAAATAGTCTTTTAGTTAATTAAAAAGTGTAACAATTACATATTTCTAAAACTATGTGATTGTTCATTGTGGACATTTGTTTTGGGATGGAGGAGTATTTCACAAAATAACTTCTCAAAGGTCGAAGGCATAGCATCAATGCTTGTGTTGGACTACTTGTTTCTTTTCCTACTTTATTCAAATTATATAACATAAATTATCATTATTGTTTGAAGATTGACACCCTCATCGCTAAATTGTTGTTTCCTCTGGTGCTTTTTCCGAAGTTGATAATTTGTTGGTTAATTTAATTAAAATCGAAGGCAATTGATGTCATTTTGAGAGGAAAAGTATGTAATTGGTGAATCTTCTTCTAGATATGCAGTTGAATAAAGGCATGAAAGTTTAGTGAATCTTTAACTTTTCACGCATTCCACATATGCATATGCATCACAAAAAGGTAATCCCTCCGTCCCAGAATAATTGTCCATATTTTTATTTTTGTTTGTCCTTAAATAAGTTTCAAACTTTTCAATTTGTACCATTAATTTTGAGGAGGAGAAATTCGGTGCTCCTTTGTTAGGGTAAAATTGTCATTTAGTTATTAGAAAGTGTAATGATTACAGATTTTTAAAATTGTGTGCCCTTTTCATCGTGGACATTTATTTTGGGACGGAGGGAGTGAATTTTTTTCTTTATACCAAACTAAACAGTATATCCCGAGCTGGATTTGGGCCCCAAGGGGTTGGATACGCACAAACTTTCTCTCTATCACAAAGGGTGGAGAGGTTTGAATTATATCTTTATATTTTGCTTATTTGTGTAGGAGGAGAGATTAAGGGGAAGACCAGGCAATGAACACCTTAACGAACCACTTCATATAGTGATCGAGGCCGAATCACCTGCAAGTATCGTTGATGCACAATTGAGACAAGCGCAGGAAGTCATTGAAGAGTTGCTCAAACCCGTGGTATGTCTTTCTTACACGTCAGTTTGCTACGTGAGGTTTACTTGTAACCCATGCATTAACAGCTGTGCATCTCACACACACACACCCACACCCATATATATGTATATATATATATATATATATATATGGGGTGCCTTAGTTTCTTCCTAATCCGTAAGATCCAATTTAGACCACAAAAAATTAGTTAAAAATAAATAAAATTTAATTGAAAAACTCTCTTCCCTCTCTTCTTTTCCTCTTTTTGTAACGCACACACACACACACAATGTTATTAAATGTGCACACAAGGTAAATACATTGTGAACACTTCGTTAGAAATACCATGATAATTCATATGCACATTGTGAACACACTCTAAATCTAACGAGATCTGGTATAGTTTGTGAGCATACTGTGAACACCAACTAAAGCAACAAAATTGAATCTGAACCTACCACTTGTGAAAACATAGTGAACACCCTAGGACGGAATTTATTAAGGTTGTTTTTATTGTGTTCACTATGTGTTCACCTTGCACGTGTGTGTGCGTGTATGTTATAAGAGAGAGAGAGAGAGAGATTTATGGAATTTGCATTTTTCCTGAAAAATGCATTAATTATCTTATATTAGTGGCTTAGAATGAATGTCATGGACCTTACAAATTGTAGAGTTCTCAAATGATTAAGCCCTATATATATACACAGAAAAAATGCATTAATTATCTTATATTAGTGTCTTAGAATGAATCTCATGAACCTTACAAACTGTAGAGTTCTCAAATGATTAAGCCCGAATATATATATATACACACACACACACTCGCACACCATGCACGACCTTTTTATACCAGCAAAGCTTTCTCTCCTCTGATATCTGGATACGGCTTCACGTTATCTACCGACTATGTTGTTTACAATCTCTCTTTTAGAAACGTGGAGCTTGTTTGCTTGTTCCTTTTTTATTTTTTGTTTTGTACACCGGGAGTCTTCACGGCCTCTCTACCCTTTGGATTGGAGTAGAGGCAAGGTCCACATACATCCAACCCCCATACCCTACATCATCATAGGACATTTGTGAAGTATATAACATTTATATACAGCAAATACTCACACACACTCCTCACCGTTGGTCATGCTTGACCTCTTGACCTCCAAGAAGGTTGGGATCTACCAGATGTCACCGAGCCAATGACCCTTTGGTCTGATTTTATGTATTTGACAATAAAAAACCTGCTAACCATTTATTACTTCCGGTTGCAAGGAATCATCTCGGGATTCTTATAAACGGCAACAGTTACGAGAACTGGCTATATTGAACGCCCTTTTCAGAGAAGACAGCTCTCAGCCGAGTAGCAGCAGTGGATCTCGTAGGTCCAACACAATGAAGCGCGCTACGACCCCTTGAAAGGAATCCTGTAGTTCCCTTCCATACTGTATAGTGTACAACCCCTCTCGATCCAACGGTTAAGTTTCAATCAAATCCAGGATCAGAGTACAGAGTTTGTTAAAAGATTTCTTTTCTATTTTGTTTGCTTGATGCTAGCTGTGCAGCTTTTCCAACCATGGTTTGCTTGTTTACTTTGGTTGTTTTGTGTGTTATGTAAATTGTAAACTAGGGTTTGTGTTGTGTGTTATGCATATAAACTTATAAAGTGTTGGTTTTGCTGTTTGAAAAATGGGTTTTGCAATTAATCAGCCCAAAAAAGCTTTTTAAAATCAAAACCTTGTCAAATCTTATTTTGTGATTTACTACGGGGTTGTTTGGTTGGTTTTTCGTATTGTACTGATAAAGTTGTCTGTAGAAGTTGGGATGGTTTTTTTTATTTCATAATTGGGATGAGCGTTTTTTTTTCAATTTTGAGGGGCAGGTTTTGAAATGTTTTGTCTTTCTGTGTAAAGTTATCTTTAGAAGCTTACTGAATATGTGACTGGTAAAAAGTCATGTATATCTGACTGAATAAGCTGAGTCTTATCAAGCTGCTAATAAATAGACTTTGTCTCAAGAGAGATTAAATGATTTGGTTTTGATTTTGCTTGAAAAGAGTTTCTAGAAAATATAGCAGGTTATCCGTATAGCAGGTGGTTCTTTTAGAATTAGTCTGCTCATATAGTGGGTTGGATATCGAGGTTAATAGAAAAAATTGTGTTAAATTTGATAAGTAATATATTTGGAAAAAAATTGTAAAGCCACATATTGTTTTTTTAATAAAAGACTTCCAAAATCTTGCTGGTAGAGAATTTGACTTAGGGGCAGTTTACCAAACACTTACCTAGTAAGCGCTTACCGGTGAAATTTAACACTATCATTTACTTATCGGGTAAGATTTTAGTCCACCAAAACAGTATCGTATGCAACAATTTTTCCGGTAAGTGCTTACCGTGGTAAGAGTCGTCGCCCTTACTTACCGGATAAGACTCTTCGTCCTTGTCTCGCTCTGACCGGGTAAGATTCTTGGTTCTTATCATATTCATCCGGTAAAATAATGTGACTTGGTGGTCACTTACCCAAGTAAGTATTTGCTAAACGGTTCCTTAATGAAATGTCATTTAGAGGTTATATATACATTTAATGATTTTCAACCCATTTTATTTTCATGAGTAAACTACAATATTCCTCTATGTGGTTTGTAAAAAAAATTGTGATTTTGATCTCTATGGTTTTAAAATTTCGGTTTCTGTCCATGTGGTTTGTAATATGTTGTTGTTTACCAAAAAAATATATTTAATAAATCAAAAAGACTAAAATATCCCCAAGTTAATGGAGGAGTTATAATATATTCAAGGATGAAAATAGTAATAAATTACAAACCATAGAGATGAAAATCACAATTTCAAAACTATAGGGATAAAAATCGCAATCTTTCTCAAATCATAGTTTACTCTTTTTTTTTTTTAATTAAGCTTTTAACTTTTACTTTGTTGAAAATAAAATATCAATTAAATTAAATATAATTTTATAGAGTTGAGATTAGAGATAGCTAAAAATCAGTTTTAGGTCGGTCCTAAATCGGTCCCTTGGAAACCTAGTCGGTCAGTCCTGATCAAAAATCCTAGGACCAACAGTCTCGGTCCCATCGGGCTGGTTTCAAATCTAGTCCGAGTTCGACCTGATTTTAAAAAGAAAATATTTTTTACACAAAAATGTTATAAATGTAATACAATTAGTGATGGCCAAATCGGTCTGGAATCGCTGAAGGACCGGAACCGAGACCGACCAGGACCGGAAGACCGGAACCGGGACCGATAAGAACCGGTTGTGGGACCGCAGGGTTACATCTGGTTATAGATTGTTGGTTTTGTGGGACCGGTTAAGGCCAACCCCGAAATATATGTATAATAAATGTATTTATAATAAATTTTTGAAAGACAGTTAATTTTAATTATAATAAAACGTATTTTAAAGTGTATTTGAGTGACCCAGTTATAAATTTTATAATATATTAAAAATATATATCATTAAAAAAATTATTTTTTAATGGGCAGGACCGGTCGGGACCGGACTGGCTGCCAAGGACCGGTCGTGAAGAACCTTGACCATTTTCGACCGGAACCGGTTATGAAAAACTTGGGACCGGACCGGCCCAACCCAGGACCAGTTTTTGACCATCAGTACTCCAAATGAATCATAAATGTGTCGCAGTTGGTTCCGATCCAAACCGGGCCGGGTCCAATTTAACCATCTCTAATCGAGATTGATACTTTTCTAAAAGGTGGGCCGACCCGAGACGTTGAAAGCTAAGAGGCTATGAAGCTCAATAGCCCAATAACGGAAGCCCAATTAGATTAAGATCCCCAATTTTTTTTAATCAAAAATCATTTCTTCCGATACGAATTCTTGCTTTCGATCTATCTTGTTTCTTACCATCTCCGGTTTCAAACCCTAATTTGCAGATTCTTGTTTTGATCTCATCAGATCGGAGCATCTTTAGATGGGGAAGATTCCGGTAAAGATTAAGTCTGTTGTGTACGCCCTATCGCCGTTTCAGCAGAAGGTGATGCCTGGTCTCTGGAAGGATTTCACCAGTAAGGTTACTCACAAGTTCACCGATAACTGGCTTGGTGCCGTCCTCCTCGTCGGCCCTGTCGCTGGTGTTTACACGTAAGTATCAGTAGCGATGTCGATTTGATCAGTTCTAATCGATTTGTATTTATATGTTGATTTTTATGTATTTAAATAACCTAAATCTCTAAGTTATTAGCTTCGTCTGCGATTTGCTTTCTGCTTCTATATTGTAGTTTATGATAGCAAATTTGTTGTGAATCCGTATATCTCGTACGTTGTGTCTTCGGAATTGTACCTCTTTCCTTAGAATCAGGTTGAAATAGATTCGGTTAAACAATCTGCATCCCTAAATCTACGTGCGGGTGCGATTTTGCAATATGAGAAAAAAGAGGGAGCATTCCATGGAGGTAGCAACCCGAATAGTATTCCCTACCCAGTTTTTTCGATTTTTAACATAATTTCATTACCATAAATAGTATTAATTTAGATTATAAATATATATATATATTTCTTATCAGGCCGACCAATTGTTTTGCAGATAGTCCGTGGCCACAAGGAGGTTTTTATTCCTCCTTGAACCTGTGACCTGCTAGTACTTTTGATCAAACCAATTAGGCACCACCTTTGTGGTTAAATATTTTTATAAACAAACAAAACATATCCACCCATCACGGCCTTTGGTCCATACCAACGATCGATCTCCCTCTTTTTGATCTTTTTTTATTCTCCCTTTTTCGACATCTCTATACGTACTCCATTAAATTGTAGGAAGCAATTGGGGGATTCTGGACTTGCTATAGGATATATCTGTTTTAAACAGTTGTATAGCTGCATAACATAGTCATGAGACTGTTGGGAGTTGTGACAGAATATAAAGGGGGAAAAAGAGGATAATTTAAGAACAACTTGAAGAATTCTAGCTATAATTATGATTTGTATCTTATATTTTTTAGCAAGCTCCGTTTCTCGGGTTACTTTGTTACAACTGAATGAAGTTAGGGCCACTGGTTCTACAAGACTGCTGAATTTGTTTAGCTCAAAGTTATATGGTGACTTTGATTTGAAGCTGCTGTCTAAAACCCTTATTCTAATCTCAGAAGTTATCAATAAACCTTAAATATAAAGCTACGATACGAGGGTACTTTGGTATGTGTGTGTGTATGTGTACACGGGCGGTTCATATGAGAACCACAAAAAAAATTAACCGGAGAACCTGTACATTCATTGATGCATATACATAGTAGATATGTATTGATGAGTATAGAGTGAGTTTCAGGGGAAAACTCCCAAAAAAAATGAAAAACTGAGGATACCATATAACCATTCATTTGTACGGTATGCACATGTGCATACAAGTAATTGAAGATGTTTTCTGGTTTCTATGCACGTCTACATGTGCATAACGGACAAATGAATGTTCATCGGTTATCAATTATTTTTTGTGGTTTTCTCCTAAACTAGCCCAATGAATATATTTATTGACAGAATACATATTTTGATAGTACATATGTGTAGAGGCTCTCAGATTTTGTGGGTCTCACATGAACTTGAGCCTATATATTTCTTTTCAATGGCTGCCATGACTGAACCATAGACCAAGGGTGGACCGTAAGAAATGTTGGTAGCTAGAGTTTGGACCGGATGGCGGCATAGGCTACACTTTTTGTCCTTATGGACGTATCTCTTTGTGCATCTCTTCAAATTATTAGCTCAATTTTTGTGGATGTACGTTGCTTTTAGTTTGCTTTTCATATGATGTTGTGATTGCTTTCATCAATTAGCCCGATCTAATTCATGGCTTTTTCACCACCTTTTGGAATTGATCATCCACTTTTACAAAGCCTAAATAACATTGTCTAAAACTATATGGAGGTGATTTCTTGTTTTCTCTCCAACCCACTATAAGGTTTTTTTTTTTTTTTTTGATTAAACTGGATATCCAACCCGCTATGCGAGCCTACTAATCCCAAGGCGACCACCTGCTTTGCAGATAGCCCGGAGTCACCGCATTTGAACCTCTGTGGCCACAAGGGGATTTTTGTTCCTCCTTGGATTTGAACCTGGGACCTCCTCGTACTTTTGACCTTTGGAGCCAAACTCAAACCAATCAGGCACCACCCTTGTGGTACGGTTGTAGTTGGAGGCTTTTACGGCACATATAGTTGTTTTTTCTCAGTTACACCCTAAAACCTTGAACAATGATTTCACATGCATACCCCGCCTTCGCCTTCCCCTTCCCGTCCTATATAGTTGTGTTCCTTCTATCTGCCAAACGTACCCTATATGTCTGAGGGTAGTACTTGTATGCTCTCCTAAGAGATGGACTATTTTCTTTTCGATGTTCTGTCTAGCGGAAGTTGATGATGTGATTTACATTTGCAGATATGTTCAGCATTACCAGGAAAGAGAGAAATTGGAGCATAGGTATTAAGATTGGTGTCTCTTCACTCTTGAACATGAGAGAGATGAATTTGTATTCTTGATCATTAATAAGCTGGAGCTGTATCTGTTCAGCTCTTGAGACAACTTTCTTTTTGTCACCTCATGTTTTCTATTTCCCATTATTTGTCTCAACTGAAAAGAACCCACCCCTTTACCATTTTGAAATTACATTTTTCTTGCATTCGACATTCAATGTTATTTGTCGTGAAGAAAAATAGTTGTTCGCGTTATGATTCTATCATCCCTTGCTGAACGGGCCCAAATGTTGGTACATACAGCATTTGCGTTCTGATTATTTGCTTTTTCTATCTGTTTGCTTACGTTTTTGCACAAATCATTACAGAAATATTTGTTCTATTCTTTGGGGTATACGTTGCATCTCCTTTAGACTCTACTTTTGAGTGGGATATATAGGGTCAGGGTTTGTTTGTTAGCAGCTTAATGAGAACCACAACTCTTCGGTTAGTTATATAGTTTTGTTTGGTAGTGGCTTAATGATGTAGAAATTGGTTTGTTCAGTAAACTTTATGTAGAAAATCAAGTTTTTCCTAAACTTACTCTTTCCAAATTAAAAACACGCTCTTTTACCATTGAAATTACGTTTACTCTTTCACCGTATAGATTTTGAAACTACAATGAGAATACAAGTTTTCCTTGGCATAGTTTGTTTGCAAGGATTTTCTTTCATCCCAAACCCGAATTTGAATCTTGTTAGTGTCATTTTTTTAGTTTTTTATTTTTAATTTCAAATTTATTATGTTTCTTAAAAAAGATTGTACTAAAAGACTTGAACACAAAACCTCACATAGAAAAACATTGTATTATCCAACAGACTGATATGATTTTGTGAAAAATATCTCAATATCTATTTCTTATAGTCAAATTGTATCACCGTTTAGAAAAAATATGGGTCCGTCCCTGGAGCAAGGCATCTGATTCATTGGGTCGGACTGGGTTCAAGTCACATTAACCCATTCCAACCAAACAACTACGTTGTGAAGATTTTACAACTCCATTAAGTATCAAATGGTTTTTATCTTGGATTAGGTTATTCCAGATCGGGTCAGTCTGGTTTGTTTGAGCATTGCTACCCATAATCCCATTTGCAACAGGGTGAGGCAAATTGTGTTTGATTGTACCATTTTTTATTTCAAAAAATGCCTTTATCATAAAGCACAACACATGTTGTCCACAAGAAACTAAAGATAACAGTCATGATAATACCCAATGGTCCTTAAATGCATTAAGGCCTAGACTTCATTTGTGTTGGCCTAGACTTTCTTTGTGTCGGCTAGAGTTGCATCCCTATCATTAAGCATAAAAACCTTAAAGGGACGTTTGGTTCATAGATTGAAATTTGGTGGAATTGAAATTCATCAAAAGAATTTGCTTGTATTTAACCAGACGTTTGATTGGTAGGAATCGAAATGGAATCTCGCAAAAGAATTAGAGTCTGCATTGGTCAGGTGGGGGTGGCAACTATAACGACAATGGCGCAGGAGGGTTGCGGTCTGATTCTTTTAGCTACAGCTTAAATAAGCCAAAAGAATCAGACCGCAAGCAGCTAAAAGATCATCTATCGTCCACTAATTTAGCAGAAAACAAGAAAACTGCCTAAAGGGATCTCGCAAATAAATGAAATCAAAACAGTCATTCAATTTTAAAACACAATGCATTCTTTCAGTAAATTGCAGCAGCTCGAACATAAAGATGAAAGGAAATGCGACAAAAGTCATTCTAGTAAACAAGAAAAAGAGGGTATAAGTTTCCTGAACGAGATTCGGCTGGTTGTTTTTGATGAACAAAATGAACTTATGCAACAGCATCTAGAAACGCTCTTCCTGGCTGACGGTTTGCAAGAGGTCCATGGCATCCAAGAAGCTGCATTACAATTACCATTTGTCACCAACACAAGATGAATATAGCTTTTCAAAACTTAAAGAAGCTACAATCATAACCATTGCCTTAATTTGGATACTTTATACATCATGCAGCAGGTTTTTTTGAGAATCATAAATATTTTGAGAACCATCAAAACCAACCATTCATAATGAATATGATAGATATTATTGATGAATATCATGAATTATAAATTCTTGATGAATAATACTCATCATGAATTATAGATAGTTTTGTTACTAAAAGAAGTTTCCCAGTTACATCATTATCAGTTCTATCTATCAAACATGTTCAACATAATGAAGTTCAATGAATGAAATTAAAGAACAAAAAGGTGATCAAAAGAGTTTGCGTTCTAACAATCTACCCAAAAAAATGTTTAAGCTTTCTATCAACATATCTGACTGTTATCCACAGCCTTAAAAATTTCAAAACATATAACCCTTTTCAGGAAATCATCAGTAGTTACTTTTAAAGGTTATACTCGTGTAAAAGTGATCAAATATGAAATCCGTTCAAATCAATACCAACTGTAAATACAGAAGAAAAAGCATGCAACACTTTTCTTGTATTTCCAACTAATACGGGGCAATGGGTTCGTTTAAAGGGAATGGGTATAATAAGTAATCACTTACTACATTATATTGAACCAAATATTATTATTTGTTCCCATTCCCATTTCTTACCCCTCAATACACACAACCAAGCAACCCCTAATTGTGCTTTATGAACTAAATAAATGAAATGGCAAGATCTACCAAACACCTACTGAACAGTCCAATGAGCAAACAACAAGCATTTTGTGTTATTTGAAGAGAACAAAGTGATACCTTAGCATTAACTCCATCATTCATGATACGGTTCTCTGATTTCCACTGAAGATAGTCGGTACGACTGAATTTGGTGAATCCCCTGCAAAGACCATCATAATAACGATTACAAACAGTTTATCCAACTACAAACAAAAAGAAAAGCATCCCACACTGTTAATCAACAAAATAACATCAGAAAATATCAACTACTTCGTGACATCAAGATTAATATCATACCATTTCCTGCTGACAATAATCTTTTGACGGCCAGGGAACTTGAACTTAGCACGACGAAGTGCCTCCTGAGCATTCTGGCTGTTACCGTCTTTACAGCGGACTGATAGAAGTACTTGACCGATACTTACCCGAGCACATGTACCTTGTGGTTTACCAAAAGCACCTCTCATGCCTGTTTGGAGCCTATCAGCTCCAGCACACGACAACATCTTGTTGATACGAAGCACATGGAAAGGATGAACCCTAACCCTCAAGTGGAAAGCATCCTTTCCAGCAAACTTAGTCATGTACTTGTTGCATGCAATACGAGCTGCTTCAAGTGCCTCACTAGAGACATTCTCTTTTTCCCAACTGACCAAATGCACACAAAAGGGGAACTCATCAACTCCTTTCCTCTTCATTCCAACATCATAAATCCTGATCTTCGAATCAGGCACACCACGGCAGTATCGGGACTTTGGGTAAGGCTTGTTCTTAATCTGGCGGTAACACCTAGCAGGTCCTGAACCATATAATCAATAGTTACTTGCCATAGATCCACTTAGCACAATCTCATTAAAAGTACTTTAAAGGGGTGTTTGGGATTGCTTATTTGAAACAACTTGTGATTTTCTACAAAGGCACTTATCAACTTATTATAAGTCAGAAGGATTTAACTTCTTCAAAAACTCCTTATTACCGGTTTGGCACCGGTATAAGTTGATTATCCAAACAATCAAAAGTGCTTATTACCGATACTACACCAAAATATGTCAATAAGTTGTTTTTATAAGCAATCCCAAACACCCCACAACAACAAATTACATAAATCCGATCAACAGTTAGCTCTACCGATTTAATAAGCACCATCATCAAATGACGAAAAACAACAGAATTTGAGATCTAAAACAAATAGGCAAAATCTTCAAAATCCAAAACATTTACAGACAATATACTATTTAATTTCAACAATCAATGCCAAAACCTAATGGACTCACTAATCCACCTAAATATCCAAACAAATCATCACAAAACTTCAATTATCTGCCAAAGAGTACAAATCACCACTAGAAAGACCACATAGAACACCTTTCCAACAGTCTATAACCTACATAACCGATGAAATCCATTTCCAAAGTAAAATCCCTAAGTGACACGCATAGATAACAACAACAACCAACTTTTGCATATGATAAGAAGCTAAAATTCCTAACAACATAATTGCATATAGAATCAAACCAACAACAATTGAACGGTAGTGACAATTAGAACAAAAGGAAGATTGATCAAGAGCAGGAACTTACTTCTTCCCATTGCGAAAATCTGGTTGATTGCCGCTGCGCAAATGTTACACAAAAAACCCTAGATAATCGATTAAGAAATTATACTTATAGGGTGGGGGATATAAGCTCGGACGGAGGGTTTGGGTGGCGTAGGTGGATACGCGTGGGCTTCATGGGCCGACGTCGTTTACGAATTACGATTACGACTTTGCTTGTTCTAATAAGTCAATATTGGGCTTCTAGAAGTGGGCCCAAATTCAATGGCTTTGAATCGGTTAGAATCTTCTAGAAGATGGATTTATGGGTTTTTTTGAAATTGGTTTGTTTGAATATTTTGAGGTCAAATAAGTAATTGTGGATAACAAGATTAATAAGGAGGGTAATGGGTTATTTGGCAGTTGTTGAATGGTTTGGTGTAGAATGATTGAGTGGTCAGAATGATTAAGAGGCTTTCATGATATAGTGCAAAATAAAATATAATTGTTTGATGCGCTTAATGGTTAAGGGAGGTCCATGATACAAAATCATTCAGAGGGTTTTAGAACCATTAAGAGACGGACTTTTTTTTGCCAAACAAAATTTACCTCTTAATGATTCAGAGGTTGCCTCTTAATAGAACTATTAAGAGGTAAACAAACAACCCCTAAAATTCGAATGGTTTGAAACCTGAATTGAATTTAAGGTGTTTGTGTAAAACATGAATGTTTTGAAATCTGAAAATCCGAAACTCGATCTTTCTGGGGATTTGGGTCGGTTTGGGCTTGATTTTTGACCACTCGGTACGTTTGAAACCCGAAATATATATCATTTTTAAATATTATATGAATATATGTTTTTATCTAATTATCTTTTCTAATGTCTAAATCTTTAGCAATTTTCTTTAATTTCTAAATCTACTATCAGTTTCATTCTTTCAGATGATTGAATTCATCCTCAAAATCGATTGTGTGTGTATACACCTTAACTCTCTTTCTCACACGATCATTCGTCTATATAGGGTTAGGTTTCGGTGAGAAGCGTAAGAATAGATCTTCATCACTTGAACAATCCTAACTGAATATCAACAATAATGAGATGCACCAGATCAATTCCCTCGTAAATGCACAATTTATTGGTGGGTATGAATTAAAAAGTGATCAAGGATTCATATCTCTTTTTATGTTTCTCACTATAACTTCTCTTATCACACGATCATTCAACCCTCTCTCTCTCTCTCTCTCTCTCTCTATATATATATATATATATATATACACACTGTATATATTTATGGATATAACTATGCCCGAACTCGAAGCAACCAAAATTCGGGACTTGGTTTTTATATTTAAATTCCAATATGATTTTAATTTGCCCACCCGAACCCGCGCCGATGCACACCCCTATGTATTTATACAAAACACGAGGTAAAAGATTACTTCTAGTTGCTATTAGTAATTTTATAGACAGTTATTCATTTATTGAAATATATCTGACTTTGTCACTAAAGTTGGGTTATATTGAACGTAACGGTCTATATAGTGAACTCATATAGGCATCCTGGGTATAACTGGATTATTTGGGGTGGGTCGGTTTTCTTCAATAGCTATCGTTTGATGCTACTATATAGTTGGTATTCCAAAATAAATCTCCATGATAAAAAAGACACAGTTTCAAAATACGTAACTACTACAATTTTTTAATTAACTAACTAATAAATTTACGCACGGTAATAATACGAGTAGTGAATTACTCTACTTCTTGATTAATGATGTAAATGAAAAGTAAACGTAAGGAGCTATCGTAGATATTACCCTTTCACCATAAGAGTTTACAAACAAACACATATGCTTAGTACCATTCTTGATACTGAGATATATCATAATATCATAGAACGTGAGAAGCCGATGATGATCATCTAGTTCTGAAAGAAATCATCTTTTTCGTTCTCGTTAGGTTTAAGTTTGACAAAAGTGACATTCTACAACGAGCAATTTATTTATTTTCAAACGACCCATTTATCAAAATTCCATCGTCGTTAGAAGTATGAGGGGCTGTTTGTTTCCTCTTAACGGTGATATTAAGAGGGAGCCTCTTAATCGATAAGAGGCAGGAGCTGTTTAGCAAAAAAAGAGCCTCTTAATGGTTACAAAAACCTCTTAATGATTTTGTGTTTAGGGCTTCACTAAATGATTCAGTTTTCACTTGTTCCAACTTTACCCTTCCCACCCCTCTCTTCCAGCCGCTCTCTTCACGAGTTCACGTCGCCTTCCACAGCTTCCACAGTCGCCTTCCACAGCTTCCACGGTCGCCTCCACCGTCTCCATCTCCATCTTCGTCGCCGGTAGTCTCCGTCGTCGGGTGTTGCCTCCACCATCTCTGCATCTCTCTATCTTTTGTCTCACAACAATCAGGTATTTCCCTAGATCGATCTCCTCTTAAAGTTCCCTTTGTCAAATTTTACGATTGTGATTTATGCTTAGGTAGTGGTTGTGTATGTGTGTGATTTATGTCAAGCATTTGTGTAGATACAATATGTTAGGAAATGAACCCCTAGATCACCATATGCAGTGGTTGTTTTACAACTTCGATTTCGTTACTTTTGTTACGCTTATTCTAAATTACGTGATATGGTTTCACATTTGAATTGGATTAGGCGACCACTTCTTCTCCTGCTAATAATCTGGGTATAAAGAAACCCCCAGTTTATTTTTAAACGCCTTAAGTAAAAAAAAAATAAATACAAAGCATATAAATGTTTATTCCAAACCATCTGAGCATTTCACTGCCACTTGAACAAAACCATAGGCAGTGGCTGTTTTGCCACTTGAACACAACCATAGGCAGTGGCTGTTTTGCCACTTGATAATAGAGTTTAGTACTAATAGAGTTTGCAATGGCACTTGAACACAACCATAGGCAGTGGCACTGCCACTTAAACACAACCATAGGCAGTGGCTGTTTTGCCACTTGATAATAGAGTTTGCAATGGCACTTGAACACAACCATAGGCAGTGGCACTGCCACTTGAACACAACCATAGACGGTGGCACTGCCACTTGAACACAGCCATAGACGGTGGCACTGCCACTTGAACACAACCATGAACACTAATAGGCTTTAGTACTAATAGAGTTTGCAATTATGGAATAATCCCCTTCAGGATTTCCTTGTATTCCATTTCAATATGTAGGGAGTTACAGATATACACGAGCTAATTTAAGAAAAGATATACATACAAAGAAAACATATCAGAATCACATCAAAGTAAAGCATGTACAATATTATCGGTTAAGAGGTACAACAAATGGAAAGATCACCAATATGCCAAATTTTCTTATGAAATTTGTGTGATTGTGCTCAAGCTGTACGCATTAATTAAGGAGACATCAATTATGAATAGGTTTCTTGATCACTTGCAATGTGAGAACTAGTAAGCCATTATTGTTGGCCAACTGGAGGACTGCTACTATGTTTTTGTATCTGCTTTTGTATTAGCCTCTGAACTAAAATATGCAGAAACTGATATTATTTTCTACCCACATGACACCCTCAACTCAAAAACCGGAGGGCCAACCACAACTCAAGAGTGTTCTTCTCGCCCTCCGGTACAAAGCAAAAGGCGGAAAGCTAAAGAAACATGTGCTTCAAAAAAAGTGGAAGTTGAAGAAACTATTTTGAAGGTTATGAATGTTATACTAGAGAAGCATGGAGCATCAAAAGATGATATTGATGATTGCTTGAAGAAGCTAGAGGGATATGGATTGGGTGCACCGTTGCATGGTGTAGCACTATTTGTTTTAGCTTAAAGCGCCGACTATAGGAAAACGTGGATGCGTTTAGAACCGGTGAATTATGAGAATTGGATTAGACTTACGGCACACAAGTATGGACTACTTAAGTTGGTAGGTTTGATTACACTTTGTTTTTTAGAGGATTTGTGTTTCGATTAAACTTCGTGTTATTGATTCGAACATATATTTTGCAACATATTTTGGATTTATGTTTATTTTTGGATTGGAACATGTTTTTTAATGATCATTGAAAATGGTATGCTTATGTGGTTTTCTTGTTCGATATATGTGTTTCTCATATGTTTGCAATATATGTTGGAATTTGATCATTATGTTTTTGTTTATTCCTGAATTTGAAAAATTATGTTTGTTTGGACTAATATGAAATCTTGTTTTGAATTAATAATATTACGTTTGTTTGGATTAATATGAAATATGTAGTTATATTTGCAAAATAATTGTTTTATTCAGATATCTGTCAAACAACTATATTTCATTTAGTACTAAATCATACAAAGGGTTAAAATGGTAATTTGTTGTCATTTAGAGAACAGTTACCAAACAATATTATTTTATTTAGCACCTAACCATTCTAGTCCTCTAAATCATTCTGATCACTTAACCATTTTGCACGAAACCATTCAGCAACCGACAAACAACCCCTAACACATGATATGTTGGATAATGAGTCAGCCAGGGGAAAAATGGTGGGGGAATGAACCCCCGTTAGAAAGAAAAAAAAGAATTCTTAATTACTTAGGTTAAAAACAATTTTTTATCCAATCTTCTACCAGCCCCCACCCCCAC